CCGGCGCCGGGGCCCGCCACGATGCCCCGGCGGAAGCAGAGCCACCCGCAGCCGGTGAAGGGTGAGTGCGCGGCGGGCCCGGGGGGCGGCGGCCCGGCGGGGACCCGCGGCGCTCGGAGCGCCGCAGCGGACGCCGAAGATGGCACCGAGGAGACGGCAAGAGCGGCGGTGGTGCTGCCCGGGGACCTGCTGCTGGGCCGTGGCCCGGCCTCCGAGAAGGGACCGCCAGGTGCGTGCGGCCCCGCGGGGACGCCGCCCGTCATCCGGCAGGGCCCGCCCCGCCACGGGCCCGCCCGGCGCGGGCTCCGGCCGAGCTTCCTCTCGCGGGGGAGGCCCGGCCCCCGCGGGCCCCGGGGTGGGTTCTGCCCGCCCGGCGTTCGCCCCCGGTACCGATCCCCGAGTGCTCCTTCCCGCCAGGGTCCCGGCCACGACGTGTCCCCGCGGTGGGCTTGGGGCCGCGCCCCGCAGCCAGCCCCGGGCTCCTGTTGCAGCGCTCCGCTCGGCACGGCGGGCGGGACGGAGCGCGCTCGGCCCCGGCACCGGGCCCGCTGCTGCGGGCAGCGCCCGTCCCACCGGGGCTCCCGAGCTTGGCTCGGCCCCGGGGAGCTGCTCACCGGGACTGGCGGGAGGCGCTCCCCCCCCCGGGCACTGAGCAGTGGGAACGGAACGGCAGAGCACGGACTGTCCGGCCCGTGCCTGTCCCCAGGGGCTGTGCCCGGCTCCCGCTCTGGCCCCAGGCTCAGCCCCAGCTGCCTGGCCCATGGGGCTGCTCCGAGGGCTCTGCACGGACTGTCCGGCCCGTGCCTGTCCCCTCGGTGCCCGGCTCCCCTGTGCCCGGCTCCCGCTCTGGCCCCAGGCTCAGCCCCAGCTGCCTGGCCCATGGGGCTGCTCCGAGGGCTCTGCTGCCCTGCCCTGCCTGCCCTAGCAGCCTGCCAGGGCTTTGGGGACAAACTCTGCCAGGAATACCTGTCCTGCCATTCAGCCCCAGCCCGGGAGCAGGACCAGGACCTCAGCCCAGTGAACCAGGCAGGACAGACAGGCTGTGCCATGTGGGCACTGACACGGCCCTTTAGGGGCTCTGGGGATGCTGTGGCACTGCTGGCCCCAGGGACAGGGGGTTCCCTTGGTGTGGGACTGGCCTGAGGGACAGGGGGTTCCCTTGGCATGGGACTGGCCTGAGGGACAGGGGGTTCCCTTGGTGTGGGACTGGCCTGAGGGACAGGGGGTTCCTTTGGCATGGGGCTGGCCTGAGGGACAGGGGGTTCCTTTGGCATGGGGCTGGCCTGAGGGGACAGGGGTTTCCCTTGGCGTGGGAGTGGCCCGAGGGGACAGGGGGTTCCCTTGGTGTGGGACTGGCCTGAGGGACAGGGGGTTCCTTTGGTGTGGGACTGGCCCGAGGGGACAGAGGGTTCCCTTGGCATGGGACTGGCCTGAGGGGACAGGGGGTTCCCTTGGCATGGCTGGGGCTGAGCTGAGGAGAAAGGGGTTCCCTTGGCAGAGGGCTTGAGGCAGGGTCAAGAGTTCCCCTGCAACAGGCAGGCCTTGGCAGGATGCCCTTTTGTGATCTCTGTGTTTCCAGCAGTGCTTGTGGAAGGGGCTGAAGGCTGGAAGGGCTGCCCTGTCCCACAGCATAGGTCAGCCTCAGCAGCTGGACACAGCCCGGCTGGCAAGGGGACAGCCCAGGGTGGTGGGCAGCTGCTGAGCCTGACAGGCCCCAGGGCTGCAGGTCAGGCACAGAGCAGGGCCAGCAGGGCATGGCTCACAGGTCATGGTGAGCTGCCCCTCCAGCCCCGAGCACCAGCTTGGGGGCACTTGTGGAGCACAGGGGCTGCAGTGTCTGTGCCCAGCTGAGAAGTTCCACTTGAGAGCCTGGCACAGCCTTCTCCCTGCTGCCACTGGAGAGTGGCACTGCGTGGGGCAGGGGAATGTTTCCTACAGGGCAGAAGGGGCTGGTGTTGGAGCTCCCTGCTGCCAGCCATGGCAGCGCAACCAGCTGCCAGCCGGGGCTGGGGCAGTGGCACAGTGAGAGGGGCACAGAGCAGCTTTATGGCCACCCCTTTCTCTAGGCTGTGCCCACCACCTCCTACCCACCAGGCCTAGCAGTGTGGGTGGGTGATGGACTCATCCTTCCTGGTGCCAGGGTCTTGCCAGCCATGCAGAAGTGTCAGGGTTTCCCTAGACACCCAGAACAGGCCTCAGCAGGGCGTTGGGGCAGCTGTGGGGCTCCTCACTGCCGTGCAGGGAGCGGTGGGCTCCTGCTGGGTGCCAGGGGTGGGGCTGGGGGCGTAGGCAGAGGGGCAGTGCCCAGGCCCGCCAGGCTGACACGGCCCCATGCCCACGGTGTTCTCAGCAGACACACTGGTGGGGAAGATCGCAATTCCAGCGTACGCCCTGAGCGACGACGACTGCTCCTCTGGGTACCAGCAGCTGAGTGTGGAGAGTGACCCCGAGGAGGGGGGCGAGCCTGGCCCCGCGGCGCTGCCCTGCCGCCAGTGCGGGCTGCAGCTGGCTGCCAGCCTGGGCCAGAGCTGCCTGCAGTGCGCCGGCGCCGAGGGCGGCCGCAGCCAGCGCATCGTCTACTCCTGCCAGCTCTGCCCCTTCGCCTCCCACTACTCCAGCCACCTCAAGCGCCACATGAAGACACACAACGGGGAGAAGCCTTTCGCCTGCCCGCAGTGTGCCTACGCCTCTGCCCAGCTGGTGAACCTGACCCGGCACCTGCGCACGCACACCGGGGAGAAGCCGTACCGCTGCACGTGCTGCAGCTTCGCCTGCAGCAGCCTGGGCAACCTCAAACGCCACGAGCGGGTCCACAGCCAGGACAAGCCCTTCCAGTGTGCTGCCTGCGACTATCGCTGCAACCAGAGCCGCAACCTGAAGCGGCACATGCTCAGCCACCGCCTGCCTGAGGGCGAGGGGCCACACCGGCGGGACAAGGACCCAGGTAAAGGTGGGAGGGCGTGGGGCTGTGGGGAGAGCTGCTGTGGGGGCTTTGGGGCTGGCACAGGGCACGGATCCTGACGTTGACCCCAAGTCATGGTACTGCCAGGCTCACTGTGGCTCGTCACAGAGCCAGTCCTCACTGGCGCTGTGCCACCCAGCTCACAACCCCGTCTCTTTGTCCCGCAGAGCCACTGCTGCCGGAGCTGAGCCTGCACGTGGGCAGCGGCAGCGGCGCCTTCCTGCCCGGCTGCGCGCGGCTGCGGGGCGAGGAGGCGGCCGCGCTGCCCGAGCTGCTCTTCCCCTTCACGTGCCGCATGTGCGGGCTGGTGCTGGACGACGGCTTCGCGCAGGACGAGGGCCTGGCCGAGCAGGTCTGCGGGCGCTGCAGCCTGGCGGTGCTGGGCACCGAGCCGGGTGCCAGCCCCCGGAAGGGCACTGGGGACAAGGGCTTTGCCTGCAGCCTCTGCCCCTTCGTCACCCACTACCCCAACCACTTGGCGCGGCACATGAAGACGCACAGCGGGGAGAAGCCCTTTGCCTGCCCGCTCTGCCCTTACGCCTCCGCCCACCTGGACAACCTGAAGCGGCACCAGCGCGTGCACACAGGCGAGAAGCCCTACAAGTGCCAGCTCTGCGACTATGCCTGCGGCAACCTGGCCAACCTCAAGCGTCACGGGCGCATCCACTCAGGCGACAAGCCCTTCCAGTGCAGCCTCTGCAGCTACAGTTGCAACCAGAGCATGAACCTGAAGCGGCACATGCTGCGGCATACGGGCGAGAAGCCCTTCCAGTGCCGGGACTGCTCCTACACCACTGGTCACTGGGACAACTACAAGCGCCACCAGAAGATCCACGGCCACACAGCCGAGAGCTGGGTGAACCCGCGCAATGCCAAAGCCCTCCTGGCCCCCCCAGCCGTGGGCACGGCCCTGCCCTGAGACAGCACTTAGCCCGGCAGTGGGCCTGGGGTGCCGCGGTGCCTGCCCTCCCTGGGGGAGGGAGGACAGGCGGGCAACTCTCGGGGGCTTAGGGCTGCCTTACACCAGGCTCAGAGGCGCACTGGGGCCTCCAGCAGCCCCGTCCTGCCTGGGCAGGGTGAAGTCACGACCGGCAGCTCTGACCCCTGTCCGTGTGGCAGCACCGCCATGTCCCCAGCCACCCCACCTGCCTGTTTCTGCCTGCCGGAGCCTTCCTCTGCCGGGGTTTGGGGAAAAGGGGGGAGGGGGGAACAGGACTGGTTCCATGGCTGCTGCCGTGCTGGTCGGTGTAATTTATATTGTGTATAAAAGCATTAAACAGTCAGTTTTGTTATCTGCTCTTCACCCTGGGGGCCTTGTTCTGCTACAGAGGAGGGCAGCAGAGGGCTGGCACAGAGACGGGAGGGAGAGCAGCCACCCCCCAACAGACAGCCTGGTACCAATCAGGATCCGTTTTAATCATTGTTGCAGTGTAAACATCAGTTACTGTCCATTAATGCTCTGTCGGGCTGAGCAGCAGGAGATACGTGGTTACAAGCCTAGATTATGCTGGCGTCTATGAGCGGGTTAGAGGGGACTCTGCGCGGAGCCCCCAAGACAGCTTACTGCACTCTGTCTTGGAGCACAAACCTAAATGCTAATTTGGCATTATGGAGCCTGCCTGGCTCTGCCCCCAGGCTGGGCCAGGCCCTGCACTGCAGCTCCAGGGCTCTGCCCAGGCAAACTGTTCAGGTCAAACAAGCCCTCT